CAAGAGACTGTCCTTCCGGCACCACGTCGACACAAGAGTAGCTGCGGCAAAGAAGGCAGCTCAACACCTGAGGCAGCTTACAAACACAAAGAGAGGACTGCCAGCGGCCGCCGTGCGAAAAGCCGTCGTCTCCTACGTACTGCCGATCGCGCTCTTCGGCGCCGAAACATGGTACGCAGGTATCACGAAGCCGGCTTCGAGACGCCAAGCGGAGACAGACACGAGTCCGCCTTTCCAAGGAAGACCCGTCAACACAGGCCAGAAGGGGCTCGTGCAGAAGATCGACAGCGTCATTACAGCGGCAGCAAGGATCGTTCTACCTGTCTGGAGGACAACGCCAACCAGTAGCCTCCTCCGAGACGCCGGCTTACCGTCAGCCAAAGTCGCCTTAGAAGGCGTCCGTTTACGGGCCGCAGTCCGACTACAGAGGATTGATCGCCGACACCCGCTAGTCGCGCGGCTCTCCCAGCAGGGACAGCAACAGACGAGACTACAACGGACGGCTGAACTTCTGCCAAGATGCGGAAGACCAACGTTCCTCCAATCACAGTACCTGCCAAGCTCACAGGATCAGATAGTAGTTCAATGCAAAGAAGAGGCTGCGAAAGCTTTCGAGCGCTGGCTAAAGACAGTACCGGAAAGCCATATGATCGTCTTCTCGGACGGCTCCAGGGCGACGAACGGAGCCGTGGGGTACGGCTTCGTCATCTACCGAGACTCCAAACGCATAGCGCAAGGGTGCGGCCGACTCGGACTAGCAGAAGTGTTCGACGCCGAGGTCGAAGGGGCGCGAACCGGCCTCAGAAGGGCTCTGCTCACCAATCGCGGTCATCCAATCCACATATGTATCGACAACACCAGCGTTATACAAGGCATCCGCGGCAAGGCGCCGGACTCGTCACAAGACGCGTTCCTCGAAATCCAAGAAGCGGCCAGGATATTTGATATACGGACGCACTGGTCCCCGGGACACCAGGGCATCGAAGGAAACGAGGCCGCGGACCGGCTGGCCAAAGAAGGAACGACACTGCCGGCGCGGATGGGTCAAATGGCAACACTAGCGGGCATCAAGCGGCTTGCAAGGGAAAAATTACAAAGCCAGCACAGGAGATGGTGGTATAAAGAGCGAAGGCCGCGGTACGCGGACTTGGGGCTTGAGGCAGCTCTGTCCAGCCCTCCTGAACTGGCCTTGCCGCGGGCTACGTTACATCACCTGCTGGCGGCACGATCGGGTCACGGGGACTTCGAGCAATATCACCGACGTTTCAACCACGACGACGCTCTAATGATGTGCTCTTGTGGAGAGGCGAAAGACGTGGACCACCTGGTCTACTGTCGACTAACGCTGGCGAGGAGGCAACGGTGGCCGACCCTCCACTCTCGCAGTATGCCCGAGCCCATAGGTCCTATGGGATCTCTCGAGGCCTACTTCAAGAGATTAATCACCGACCCACGAGGCTTCGAGGCCTTTCTCCGCGTGACGGACTTCTTCCAGAAGATCTGTCTGCGGTAGCAGCATCCACACCTAGGTAGATGTGAGTGCGGACTACAAAGAACCTCCCGATTCCAAGGGACGATTTGGGAAAGAATGAAACTGGGGCACCAGCGGGAACCGGGGACAGACAGAACGCGTAGTGGCCACAAGGCATGATTTGGAGGACGATGTAAAGAGACGACGTACTGTAGAGTAGGTAGCCTTGGCTCACGGCCCTCCACGCCATATACCCTTCGGGAGGTCTGCGGTAAGGGCTCTAGCCCGGCCGCCACGGCGTTAAATACAACAACAACAACAACAACAACAACCGTTCACCCCGATACTTCCGCTGCTATCTCAAAACAGATCACCGAGGCCGGGGGCCAGTTTGTTGCGGGTAGGATCACCTCCAATCGCTGATACAATGTTCTCAAATTAACGCTGGATAGCCCCCGTCTTCGGAGCCTCAGCAATGGCCGCTGCCGGCAAACTCATCTTCGTTACGGCCGGACCCGAATCTGCGATCTCGGCCATCTCCCTATACCTCAACGGCGTAATGGCACGCTCCGTCATCCCCATGGGCGCAGACGTCACCAAGTCAAGCTTGCTCAAGATTGCCGGAAACATCGTAGTCGTCTCCTTCATGGAGGTCCTCTCCGAAGCCCATGTCTTTGCCGAGAAGACCGGCCTCGGTTCACCGGTGCTGGAGAACATGATCTCGGACATGTTTGGCCCCGTTCTCGAAAGCTATAGCAAGCGCATTACCAGTGGTTCTTATGCACCGCCGCCTGATAGCAAGGCTGGGTTTGATGTGGCGCTCGCGATGAAGGATTTGAGGCATGCACTCACGTGTGCCAAGGATGCAGGAACGAAGCTGGAGACTAGTGAGGCTGCGCTGAGGCATATGGAAAAGGCTAGAGAGTTTGAGGCCGTGAGGCCACTGGATAGCAGTTCCATGTATGGTGCAGTGCGTCTGGAGGCTGGTCTCAACTTCTACTCTGATGCCTGTAAGGAAAGAGATGCGAAGAAGTAGATGCACTTACAAACCTTAATGATACCAAGACAACTCGAGTTATGGAATAATGGCTCCCGTCCGTTACTTCACACCTGAAATTGACTGCCAACTTTTTCCCATGCAAAAGTCTGGCGAAATAAGCGCCACACAGCAAAAGAGTTGCGTCGAGGGGGAATCGAACCCCCGGCTCCCCGACGCTGCTTGATGGCAACGGAGAATTTTACCACTAAACCATCGACGCGGTCGAGATGCTTCAGGTGGATTGGAATGTCGGGGCTGGGTGCGGGTTCATGAAGCGACTGGGGTTGTGGTGGATCATAGTGGAGGGGGTTGATAGGGCCCGAGAATAGTGTCGATTAGCCTCACTTTCTCGGACATTGATAAAGGTTCATGTAGCAAACAACATAAGGTTTGGGCAAGAGATAGTCTTCATATTCAAGTTGTTGCCTCTAGACCAGGAAGAGGCCGGGGTGCATGCTCTCCACGCAGCGGACCTCCATCAGCCTCAGCCCCCAGTCCCTTCAACCTTGACCAGACCTGATCGAAGTCTAGTCTCTTATATCCATGCTTCCTTGCATGTAGATACTGTGACATTGTGAAAATCCTCTCGTCCAACGGTTCATGGATGCCTAGTCTCCGAAGCAGGGGACTGTCAAGGGGTCGAAGTCGTTGGTCGTCCCTCGGCCTGGCAAAGTAGATGATGCCCAGTCTTTTCGCTCTTTCCTGATCTGGCGGCGGCTTGACAACTCTATGTACGGTAGCCCGTAAAAGTCCGCCTGTCAGAAGCTCCAAGGCCTCGCCGACATTAACGATGAGGGCCCCAGGGATGTAGCGCACCCACTTCCAGTCACCGGATGGTAGCCGTATCTGCAATGATGAGACTGGTTGAGAGAAGATGAATGTGATAGATCCTAGATCAGTGTGACCTCCTAGCCATAGGTCTCGGTATTGCGTCCCACTTTCTGCAGGGCGTGGATGATACAGCAGACATCGTAGGTACTCCGAGCAGGGCTGTGTGCCAGAGGCGTGTGTGGAATGGAGGTGTTCTTCTGGCACCTCGAGTACTATTGCTACGAGTGCCAGAATCTTGGGCACCAATTTTTGACGAAAATGGTTTACAAGTTCATCGACTTGAGCAAGGTGCGAATGCAAAAGTCTGGGGTGCTCATCGTCACAGGAATTTGTAGTTGCCGGGAAGTTGTAATGATCCAAGGTCTTGTGAAACCCCTGCTTGTGTTTCTGGCTTCCCGAAGGCTTAAACCCAATGTTGAGCCCCTTCTTCTCTTGTTCGGGTGTCGTTTCGAAGGGCCACTTCTCCTCTGGTGGAAGAGTGAGTAGGGCGTGGGCTAGATCGACCTGAGAGGAGTAGAGGGCTTCTGGAATGCCATGGTTGGTGATAGTTAGGAATCCATGACTAGTCACTCCTTCTAAGAGACTTGCAGCTAGTTTCCGACGGTCGTTGACTTTGTCAAAGTTCGAGAGATCGAGATTAACGAGGTCAACGTACTCGAGATCTTCTTTGGTCGGGGAGCACTGCGTGAAGTTTGGAATCTTACAATCGAACTCTGCTGTCATGTCTCGGGATTGTGTAGTTGGATACAGATGGCGTGGGTTTTTCTAATCAATTAATATCACAATGCGCTATCTCGGGGCCAAAGTTCCAGAGAAGCAAGGACGCTTTTCTTCATTCTACTAACTCGGTGATTTTGTCTGTTACACGATGGTTGCCTTTCGACAGCTATACCAAAAGTCTTGGCCCCAACTCCTCTTTCCAAAATATCTTCCTCCAAGTTATCTATCTCAGAGTGGTGCTGATGCACTTCGGCCTTCGGACGTGGACTGATGTGGTGTTTATGACAGCTGAGGACAATGCTCCACACTGACACCGCCCTAACGAGGTCTCCCAACAAGAGCCGAGTTGACTCGAGACAAATCGCCTCGTTCGCATTAGCAACACCCCCAATATCATGACACCCGACGCAGCAGGGGCCGCGGCGAGATCTCCGGCCGTCGTATGCCGTACCCCGCGAATGCTGTGGATCACAGGAGAGGTGGAGGCGAGCGGAATAGTCAGGGCGTCTGAAGGGATTCAGACTTGAAAGATACGGGCATGGCTTGACAACTATGAGGAGCTCCACCATTTAGCTTCGTCTGATCCTTGTCAACACACCAACGCTTATCCCCCTCCTTATCTCCCAGCTTGATTACTTGACATTGTAATTAGTCTCTCTCTAGTATCTCTGCAACCATCCCCCTTGTGTGGACGAAGGTGGAGCATGCCCTGTCAACTCCTTGGGGCGTACTTTCACGACTCGCTTGGGTTGTCCGGTGATGCCTATCACTGGCGCGCGTTGCAACACCACGCACCTACGTCCGGGGGGGCAATGAAGGGCGCACGCCTCTCAACGTCAACCGACAACTCCCAAATCCGGTTGTGAATAGCCGAGACGTGCCCTTCGTGAGGAGCATGACGAGAGAGATAGACAGGTGCATTGAGTATAATACGCAATCACGCAACTACTCCTCGTCCGCCTCTGCTTGTTCCGACCGCAGCAGCCCCCATACTCATCTGCTCCGTCACTTGTCAATTCCCCGTTGCCTCTGACTCCAGTCTGTTTGTCAGCTCCACCTCAACGAAGCTGCACGGCACCTTCAGTGACCAATTTCGGTTGGTTGTACGGTATACGTGTTGTTCACCTGAGCTCTCTTCGTACGAATAGCCTCGGAGACCAACGAACTACACCATGGCGGGCGATACCGTGGCTACGAGCGTCCGCGAGGAGCCGGTTACCAGTCCCAGTTGGTTAGACAAGTGGCGCTGGTACGAACGCAATACCTCCAAGGAAGAGAAAGTATTGTTGCGCAAGCTTGTAGGTTTCTGGTCTGGATCCCGGAACCAACACGCAGCTTCTAACAAGTAGTAGGATTTTATGATCTTGACCTTTGGTTGCCTCACTTTCTTCACAAAAGTGAGTTGAAGATGTGACTTTCACAGGGCTCTGTAATGTTGACTGACTTTGATCGAATAGTTCCTCGACCTCCAAGCCTTCCAGAATGCCTACGTCAGTGGAATGAAGGAGGATGTTGGGATGCAAGGCAATGACTTGCAGTATACCACTGGTGTTTTCCAGGCAGGATACTGCGCTGCCATGATTCCCTCCAACATCATTCTTACTCGTGTTCGGTAAGTCGAATAGGTCCAATGATACTACACTTGAGGATTTACAAGCCCGAAATTGAGTATAGAGACTAATAAGAACACCTACGCAGGCCCAACATCCTCATTCCGGCTTTCGAGATCCTCTGGGGCATCCTGACTCTTCTCACGGCTTTCGTCAAGGATATAAAGCATGTCTACATCATTCGATTCTTCAGTGGCGTGTTTGAATGTGTGGCCTATCCTGGCGTCATCTACTGTATCGGATGTTGGTACAAGAGCACCGAGATATCACGTCGGCTGAGTTTGTTCTACGTTGCGGGTCCTCTGGGAACTGTGAGTGCATCTTTGTTTCATACTTGCAACGCTGCTAGGCTAACACGATACAATCAGATGTTTGCCGGCTACTTCCAGACCGCCTGCTACACCAATCTCAACGGCGTCAATGGCCTCGAGGGATGGCGCTGGCTCTTCATCGTCTGCGGCTGCATCACCCTCCCCGTAGCCATCCTCGGCGCCGTCGTCTTCCCCGCCCGTCCCGATTCCAAGAACCCCTCGTGGCTCCTGACATCTGACCAAATCGCCCTGGCTCGCCGCCGCGTTTCCGAAGGCGGCTCCGAGGCCCCCAGGGTCAAGTTCGACCGCAAGGCCATCACTGACGTCTTCAAGGGCTGGCACTGGTACGCTTTTGTCGGCTTGTACTTTGTCTTCAACCAGGCTATGATCACCAACGGACAGCCTTTCAATCTCTATCTCAAGGCAAACAACGATCGTTACTCCATCAGTCAGATTAACAATCTTCCCACCGGACAGTCTGCCATTTCCATTGTGGCGGCGTTGGTTGGATGCTACTGGGCTGATGCGACGGGTAAGCGCTGGCTGCCTTCCATCTGGATCTGCGGTTGGATGACGGTCGGTTCGATCTGCATGGCCGTGTGGAATATCCCCGAGGGACTCAAGTTCTTTGCCTTTTATGTCGCTGGACTTGGCGGTGCGCTTAACCCGTTGTTCATGTCCTGGGCTTCCGAGGTCACGTTCCGATCTGCTGAAGAACGTGCTGTCGTCGTCGCCTCCATGAATGCAGTCGGCCAGGCTCTTCTCGCAGGCTTGAACATTGTGACATTCCCTACACCTCTAGGTAAGAAATTTTTCCCATTGTGCCATTGATAGGACCACCGCTGACTGAAGAATAGCACCCAGATTCAAGTTCGGTTGGTTCTGGGTCATGGCCAACAACATCCTCCAGGCCGGCTTGGTGATGGGCATCATGGTCTTGCACAACCGTGAGAAGCGAGCCATGCAGGTCCTCGAGGGCCAGGCAGAGGACGTAGAGCAGATCAAGATCGCCAATGCCACCAAGGGCGATGATGAATCTGCTTCATTGAGGTGACCCGCGGCCTCAGTGCTGGGAATGTGACGGGCGGATGGGACTGCTCAATCTATTTTCCCTTCTTACTCCCCTGTTTTTTGAATTTCTGTATAATTAGCTACTCGGAAGCGCGGCGTCCTGGAGTCTGTCAGTTGGGGGGCTTCACGATACCCTGTGCCACACCGAGAACCAGCCGCCGGTTGGGGGCTGTGGCTACAATTTTGGATTTGATGCTTGTGGAATTTTTTTGATGGAATGAAATTTGTAGAAATATGACACTCGTTTGTGCATTTTTTTGATCACGTTGTATTAATATCGACTGTGAGTCCGCTATAGTGATGTCTTCATGCATTGAACGATCCTGGTCTAGGTATATCCTTTTCTCAGGATCGTGCAGCCTAGATCAAATTGCCCGAAAGTCGGACCAAGAGATCACATGCCTCCGGGAGAGGTAAAGCATGGAAGGCGACGTAGCACTCGAAAGGCCTTTCTACGGAAACTGATCCATACATTTAAGTAACATCCCGCTTCGTGTCGCACAGAGCTGCCCTAGCGGAACAATCACGCTCAGGCTGGCTAGGTGAACCTGACTTTCCGGAAGCTCGACAATGAGTGATAGTTATCGGTACCCTGAAGAAGCTGATGATTGGCCATATTTTCTCAATGGATCAAACTAGAGTTCCTCGGCGCGGGAACCTGCATGAACGAGGCTGGGGATTGAGGACTCGAGAATTGCGCATCACGGGTATCATCAAATACCAAGCATTGTGGCGTCATCAGCTGTAACGACGGAACGATTCCGCTGAGCAGAGCTCGGCTGTGATTTATGGAACAAAATGGTTGTGGTCAAGACCAATTGTGGCATTTATGAGAGTTACACTGTGGTTTATATACCGACTATAAAATTTTCCCAATGGCAGGTGCAGATGCTGCTTACCTCCCCTCTAGAAAACGGCTTTATTTACAGATGTATTGGAGTCGTATAGTACGATACATTGATAAAGAGGATACTCTCGGTAAACTATCGGAGTTACGTCTATCTCAGGTGAATAACAGGAGATATTGGACCAATATGCTTCATTTTCTCGAAAAATATGTCTCCAGTACACATACCTACCATACTCAGATGGCCCATCTTATCTAGAATTATTGCAGTCTTTCCACGCTATCTCTTTGTCTTTACGACCAAAGATTGTTTGTTTCAATATGACTTTGCAAGTAAGATGAAATCGGCAGGTGCTCCGATATTGTGAAAGAAAATTTAGTGTATCGTCTAATTGTTATTTGGCTGTTTGACATGCAGAAAGTAATGCTGACAGCAACCTGCATCAGAACAATGGTAGATTCCTGGTAATACAGCAAGGATACGCGACGGAGCCACGTGCGGGCCAGCGGCCCAAGACAAGACGGCAGTTCGTAAATGCGCCTAAATATCACGCGAATCCGACAAGACCACCAAGACCCCTAGCGCAAACCGCATCCGCATCAGTGCCAGCATGAACAGGTGGCGGCGTTTGTGGCATTGTCTTGGGTACATATCTAATGGGCCGGGAGCGTTTTGCGTTGACGCATGTGGCTCATGTGGCTCATGTGAAATTCGCCGTCATGGCAAAATTCCTTCCCATCCCATCATCCCACTCGGCCGCGTCCCTGGTCCACGTCGGCGGTCGTCCGCTAGACCGCCGTTGGGTCTGGGAGTTTGTCCGTGTTAGCGAGTGCGAAGAGCGGCATTCGTCATCTCGCACTAAGGTTGTCAGACCCTCCCAAACTGCCCTTCAAAGCCGTCAATTGTCCCGGCTCGTCGGTGACAAGGTTGTCCCTCCTCTTCGCTTGGCGTACTTTAGCTTCCGTTCCGTGTGGCTTTATTCGTACACTACGTACGAAGTACAGACGTGTTGTTCTCAGTGAGTGAGTGAGCGAGTGAGGTCTCTTGCAGGTACGAGTATCCCCATGTAAAAGGGCTCAAGATGCTCCGCTCATGATTCCCAGGCTAACCCGTTCTCGTATGTTAGTCTACGACCCGTGGCCCTTCATCGACCGCCATCGCCAAACACCCGTCCCCATCTCGCCTGTTGTCCCGATCTAATCATCTAGCGCCGCTGCGCTTTCGCTTCTTTTTTCCACTCTAAATCCAGGTGATCCACGTAGCCGGGACTCGGGCCTGAAGCTTTCAATTCCTCCTTCCCCACCAAACCACAATATTTTGACAGGGGTCCAAGTGATTCACTCACTCACTCACTCACCTTGAGGAAGACTCAGGTGTGTTCAACCTGGGCTTGTCAACGGTTGTATCGGAAGGAGTCTAAGAGCGCTAACGAAGGACCTTTTTCCAACTTTTCTTTTCTTTGACGATATATTAAAGCAAGGGACCAGCCTCTTCTTTCCTTCCTTCAACCCTTCAACCTTGTTCGAATCACAAAGTTCCACAACAGCTTCAACCTCAACGTCACCCTCGACCGTTACGCCTCATCTTCAAACTCACACTCTATTCTCACTCATATTCACACTTATTCCTCGATTCTTTCTCTCATCGCACTTATATTCACGAACCACCTTTGAACCCTACCGCCTGGCACCGGCCGAATATTCATGCTTACAATGGACACCGCTACCGAGTACCAGACCGCAGAGCGGTTCCACGGCATATTCAAGCCGACTGAGTCTCCCCAGTGGACCAAGCCGTACAACCATCTTCCTGTGAGTTCTTCCTCATTATCACACCCGAGTGTTACGTCGCACCAAAGCAAATGTTAATGACTTGTCATTTTCAGCTGCTCATCAAGGATGGCTTCAACCTCTCGACCCTCTTGTCAATCGGCGCCTTGATGCAGTGCTTCCTTTTCTCCATCTTTCCTGCCAAGTACGCCGTCATTCCGGCTTTGGCACTGGGTCTCAGCTCCATCGTCTCGACCATCCTCGATACTCGCTCTGAGAAGTCCAACCCTTTCATGAAGGGCGTCGTCCGCGGTCGCACCAGCGCCCAGTTCCCCGATCCCTCCACCGGCGCCATCCCAGCCGTCGCCGCCTCCCAGTCTCTCGTTGTCTTCCACCTCGGCGTCCGCTTCAACCACCCCATGGGCCTCCTCTGCCCCGGCGGTCGCGAAATCGGCCAATACTTCCGAGAGATGAACAAGGACCTCGCCCAGCGCGCTTCCGAGTACGGTCTCTACCACGTCTCCAACTGGCTCGGCGCCGACGGCCCGCGCAACAACTCCCTGCTCAATATCTACTACTTCCGCGACGTCGAGGGCCTCAACAAGTTCGCCCACGACCCCATCCACCGCAAGGGCTGGGACTGGTACAACAGCATCAAGCAGCAGTACAACCATATTGGTATCTACCACGAGAGCTTCGTCACCAACGCCGGCCAGTACGAGACCATCTACGGCAACATGAAGCCCCTTCTTCTTGGTGCCGCCAGCGTCGAGTGTCAGAGCGAGGAGACCAAGGATAAGGTCTGGGTCAATACGCTCGTCGACGCCAACGTCGGTCCCCTTCGCGGCATGATGCGCCGTATGGGCAAGAGGGATGCTCCCCTTGCGCACTATGCCTAGTTTTCTAGGTCTTGTGTATTCTTCTTTGTCTTTCTCCCCCAAGGGCGGGCATTGGAACTGATGTTCCAACGCCTGCTCATTCGACTCAAGGGTAGCATTGGGCGGTGTTTGGCGTCAGGCTACGGCCTAGGTTTCATGTGGTCATCGTCGAGTTCTCAAAGGCTGGTAATCCTCATCATCGGAGTGGTGTTTTTGAAGACCGGCGTGTCTTCTTGTGACCAATTTACGGTCACATTTCTTTCCTGTACATACTTTTTTCAAAAGGCCACGCAGCACAGTCCCCGAATCAGAACAAGTTCAAAGTACAAGTTCCATCGCCAGACACGCTCTGATGCCTCGTAAACAATGCTCCTTCTTCCCCTGCCAAACAAGCGTTGCTGATGGTTCCTTCCGCGACCAGCTTGAAGTAGCCTGTACGACAGAACGATAGACTTCCTTTCTGACCAGCATCGTGCAATACCAAGCCTTCAATACACGGATTCGGGTCCGTTCCGGCAGCCTTGTAGGCGAGATGGGTCCCTATTGCGAGCAAAATGCTGCCTGCTGGCAGTTGATAGTTGAGTTTGTCGGCCCCATCCCAATTCCACTCGTCTGGACAAACAATAAAGGTCCGAAATCCAGGATCTGGGCATCTCATACTGATTCCTTTGACATTGCCATCGCTCAATACTGCGTGGCCCTCCCAGGATATGGCACTCTTCAAAAGACAACCATCAAGCTGCAGGCGGGCACTCTTGAGCTGCCCAGTCGTGACCCCGTCATACCCCTCCACGCAGTGCTTGATACTCTTGACAAGAGCTTCTCCTTCAAACACTTTCCGCCCAGCATATCTCCCAGTCAACGTCGCCTTCTTGACCGACCCGCCATTCATTGAAGCCCAACTCCACGTAGGAGCGCGCCACGTCGTCTGACGTGAGTACCTCGCTCTCTCACCCTGTGCTGAACAAGCCCATAGCAGATCCTCAACCAACCGGCTCTCCCATAATCCAGCGACATAGCAATCATCCACCGCCTCCTCCATAGTTTTCGCCAAGGCTTGTACTGCAATGAGCCTGTCCTCGCCTTTGGTCAAGTGCTGCGCCGTGTACGTCGTGACGACTTCTTCCCAAGGAAGGTATGCCTCTTCGAGGAGAAGGGGATCCTTCTCCTCCTTTGTCATACTCTTTAGACGCCATAGTACTTGAGAAAACGCGCGTGGATCACGGTTGGTGTAGGCCTTACCAAAGGATCCTATGCGATCATTTGAGTACGCAAATTGTCCTATTCGGTAATCCATGCCGCACTGCCAAAACAGCTGATGTCGCGAAAAGTGAATAACTCGCGGAGAGAAGAGTCGTTCTTGTAGTACCCAGCCGCGCGTGTTGAGAGGGGCCTCCTCAACGCCACGCTGCCAGATTTTGCTATTGAGAAGGAAGTAGTCTCCGGCTTCAACCACCAGCGGTCTTTCCCCGCTGGTCGGTCCCTCAGAGAGGGTGCCGTCTATGGATTGGTTGAAGGATACGCGAAGATGCCTGGAGTGAATTGGATGAGGTGCAAAGTAAAGCCCTTCATCTCCCCCAGAGGCAGCCGTGGCGGCAATGTTGATGGTACCATTACGATATACCTCAGCCATGGTGACGGACTCTTTGCGCCAGTCATCGACCGAGTCTTGGATGATGCCTACGTGTGGCCGTCAGCTATCCGGCCTGGCTCAAGTCATTAGACCAACTAACAAAAGATGACTTACAAAGCGAATCGATCCAGAGATAGCGCAGCCCAAGTCTCCTAAGGAGGGAAATGGTATCTCGAAAGGTCTTGGACAGCGTTTCTACTCGTATACCGGCCTGAAAAGATTCCATGTTGGCCCGCCTCAACGTCAGAATCTCGGATTTGCCCCAGCAATGACTGAGAGTGGCGTACGTCTCATGGACGGGCACAGCTGTCGACAGTCGCACGTCGTCGGTGTCTCGGACCTCAAGATCGAGTAGTCGCGTCGGAACAAAGCCGCCCGTATCCTTCCCGCAATAGCCTGCATGGTTTGAAATGCAATCACGAAGCCAAGTTCTAGTCGAGGTAAGAGCCTTATCCTCCTGTCCTATGTCACCTTCCACCAGGCGCAAAGACTCCGCGTGTTCATCGCCTGATCGGTGTTACTGACCCGCTCCTGGCTCTGACGTCTCTGCTTACTAGATGGACTCTGACCTTGGTTCTTCAACATGTAAAAGCTAGCACCGGTTCGACAGGCTCTGCCGAGGATATGAAGAGTCAGTGGCTTTCATGTCTGCTTCCGTGTCTCGAGAGGAGGCTGCCTACATGGACGGCGAGAAGACAAGGTAGCCACTTGGCATGGCCGTCGGCGCGTGAGCCTGCACATACAACTGTGCCGTATCAGAGTGGCTGTCAGGTACTAGGCCCTCTGCCGCCAATTCCTCGTGTATGGAGGTACACAGGTGGCAACCAGCGCCGACTGCATCTTCAAATGAAGCCCATGTCGCGTGGTGAATGAGCACACGGCTTGAAGATGGCCCGCGAGCCTGTTCAGTATGTCGCTCAGCTTCTTCAATCCGTGCATCTGCAAGGTCGTTGCAGCTTTTGCACAGCATCTCGACGTACTGACATGTTGCGAATGCGACTTGGTTTGGTACAGCATTAGAGGGGTGGAGGGGCAGAGACCTGAGAAGGATTGGCGGGGCATGTTGAACAGGTAAGACAGGGTATATTCAACTAGAGCGCATTTAGCTAGACTCGGCGTGATCTCTGTCCGAGGTGGTAATGGAGACAGACGCATTGTCAGTGATACGGATAGTTGGTCCACGACTTTTGTGATGTAACGGCCATAATCACCAGATGCGTGACAACACAGACGACCGCTTGGAGCTCTCAGTAACCACAGCTAAGTATTCCTGCCCCAGAGAGCCTCCCGCATGTAATGGCTAATTATACCGCGCGAGAATAGCCAGACTGTTACAAACTTGAAGACCAGAAGAAGAACCCTTGGAAAATAATTCCCAGCTTCATATCAACGTATTAAGAGCAATGATCAAATGTTGTGCTGCGGGCAATGCCGCCCAAGCAAAGCGTTCCGACGAAAACACCAAGAAGGATGGACAAGAAATATCCTAGATTCATCGACATTACTGCCAGCATTCTATGGATATTATTAATGCCGCTCAGCTGAGGCTGTCCCACGCATTTGGAAGGATCGGCTGATACTCACAAGAGATACCCGAGAAGGGCAATGACAACCTCGTAGGCACATTGCGCAACTCTATGAAAAATTGAACATGGTGTAGGAGCAGATGACTTTTCTTTTGGCGCGAAATCCTCGTCGATTCTCAAGTGGCTCTTTCCATGTTCGCCTGCCCAGACTGTCGCTTCCAACACGGGTTTGAAGGCGATCAAAGTACGTAGAATGATAGTAAAGACGATGAGGGCGAGGCAAGTACCCGCGTACTGTCCAGGCGTTCGCGGTGTCCATGATTCTGAGAACAGCGCAGTGGCCATCTTGGTGTGAAAGACAACAGGCATGGGCTCGGTGCCATGAGAATGGGACGTCGTGCTGGGCATGTCCATCGTCAGGTCTCGGTAAATGAAGTCGATTTGGTGTTCCTGAATGGGTGACTGTGCCACTTTCCAAGTCAAATCGAAGAAGAGCGGTCTCCCTAGAATTATAGATGCTCAAATGAGCAGATTGCAACCTCGCATGAGTCTTTCATCATTTGAGATGGAAGCAAGGATGGAAGTCAAGCATAGCATCTTGTCATCTCCGATACGGTCATGAGAGGGAACCTCTGCAAGCCACATCCTCTATGGTCGCAACAGGATGGATCAGATGTTCATATCAGCGCACGTTAATTCGATACCAAATTACCAACTCGCGCAAGTGGTAAATAACAGAGAAAGAAACAGGCAGTCATGATGCCGCGATGCTCGCTAAGGTGGGGGGATGAGGCGTTTTGAGAAGGTTTCCAGGAGAAATTTCTTGGCTCCCTCGTTTAGTCATGGTGAATTAGTCTACCATCGAGTAAAGTAGGTACCCTGAGAATCACAGTGGCAGCCAATGAGCAAGTTTTGTGCAATTAAGTATCCATCTCATTTGTTTAAATATGCTTGACTAAACACCCTCCTCCTTATGTTGGTTTACAAGAGTCCATTCCAACATAACAAGAAGCACTTGACGCCTTTAAGCAAGCTCAATCGAGAGCAAAGCAACGCTCAGAACTCGCTGCATCATTGCCCCACCAGTTCGGCATGGTGACGATTTTTCCAGCACCGAAGAAAAGGAAAGTAAGCAGCATGTTGAAGTTGAATCCCGCGTCGAAAGCAGCAGCCAAGATATAGTTCCATCTGGCCCACATGTCGTACCGGTAGCGGTACGCCCAGAACATGACCACGAAGCCACCAATCAAGCTGCTCACGTATCCGGTGCTGATGTTACCGTAGAAGCTAGCCATGGCCGAGAAGAAGATGGTCGAGTTCCACAATTGAAACTTGGCGCGGGGGAAGGCGCGGTGAAGAGCGTAGATGAGAAGCGGAGTGAAGGCGCCGACAAGGAAGCCATACGGGAGAACCTTGTAGATGTGCTGCTGGAAGAGCCTTCGGGGACCGATGAGGACGTACTGCACACCCATGGTGAGGTTGGAGGTGAGAGACTGGGCAGTCCACTGATGCGCGGGGTCCTCCTTTGCTCCCGTAAGGTAATCGAACTTGGTGTCCAAGACCCAGCGAACAACAGCATAGTTGATGGGAACGCCCAAGAACGAGCCAAAGACCTGCGAGAAGAACACAGCCTTGGGGCTCAGATGCATGTAGTGCCCAACCTTCATGTCTTGGAGGTTGAGCTGCGCGCGGTACCATGCATTTCCGGCGATGGCACCGTACGCCGAAGCACCAGTCGGGTTCTTGAATCCGCTGACGGAGTTCACCATCAATCCGTAAAGCAGCTCGTTGACTGTACCAATGGCCAACTGGAAGTTGCTAAGCGCATACAACCAGCCAAGCGGAACGACGAGAATCGCGCCAGTTCCGATGGCAACAAAGTACGTCCACACAGGGATGAACATGTTCCCGGTGGCTGTGATAGTAATGAGAGCAATGGCCGACGCAGCAAACAGGGCAGCAAACCAAGACAAGGGTACTTCCTGGTAGCTTCGCTGCAGGATGCTGAGCTGGTCGTTGTACTGAGTGCTGATTTGCGAGCCGTTTCTCATGCGGTCCATCATTTTCGTGAGACTGCTCTTGATGGTCTTGTAGCCGAAAAGAGCAGCCCAAGCAATCGCAGATGTATAAGCAGCATAGTCACTAGTAGATAAGGAGTCAGAATACGAGGGCATCTCCAGAGGCTGAAGGTAGGTTTCCTTACAAAAACATGGTCCATAGGACTTGGGTGCTGACGAACGGGGGACCGTACTCCGCGTAAGCCGTCTCATTGAAGGAAACATCCGCAGTAAGCAGCTTTGTGATCGGGTACGACGTGCCGTTCTCGAGGAAAAGTCTGTTGGACATCAAGTGCCCATGCCACTCGCCGAGGTGACCGTACTTGGCGGCCGGAATCAAGATCCAACAGCTACACGCGAAACCACAGAACATGACGACCTGAGTCCACCACGGAGTCAAGAAGAGAGATCCGTTGGTCGAGATGTTGGACCAATCCAGCGAAAGGTTCAGGAAGCCCATTCCTCCGAAACCGGAGCCGACAAAGTTGGCGACCGCGTTGTTGGGTGCAACCCAGCAGAGGAAGGCCAGGGATCCGAGCATAGGGAAGATGTACTCGGGTAGGAACTGCCACATGGTCATCCCGAGAAGAGCCCAGAAGAAGACTCTCGTCTGCTTGCGGGATGAAGCCGTCGGGGCCTCGCGCTGCTTCTTTTGAGTCTCGAACAGGGCGGTCTGGCAAAGCGCCGTGAACCATGGGAACTGAGGATCGTAGATCAAGAACTGTCTAGCCAGCGCGGCAAACGAGTAGCCAGTCCACACAATGCCCCACATGAAGAAAATCGCCGCTGCCGGGTGAATCTTGGAGTTGAAGTAAAGCTCGGCCATCGCAACGGGAGTGTATCCCAAGTTGTAAGTAGCGCCCGATGCCGCGGAAATGGTAATCAGGACATGCTCTTTGACGTTGAACGGCCCCGGGTTGAGGTTGAAGCTGAACTTGGTGAATGGGACCTTGATCTCCCACGCCGGCAGGATCTTAGCAAGCCATGCGCCGCAGTAACTCGAGGCGATCTGGACGAAGAAGATAGAATACGGCGCATACGTTGTGCGGAAATGGCTCATCATCGACAGGAACGCGCCGGGAATAACGAAGATGATGGTGAGAAGGAAGTATCGGAACGTAAGGCAGGGCAAATCCGGGTCGTCGTGTAGCGAAACGATGCGGCGCACGTAGGCCGGGATGTCTTTCAATCTCGGGTCGTCCTCATCAAAAGCCTCTTCTTCGCCGTTGGCCTTGGTTGTGAACACAAAAGGCGGCTTCTCCATGTCGCTCTCAGTATAAGGAGCAGCGGGCTCGCCGGACCTCTTCTCGGGCGTGCCATTGCTGGGAGAGTCGACGGAAATGGCGTCGCCATCGTGAAGACCGCCAGTCTTTGGCTCACTGGCAGCCTGTTGTTGTTGGTTGGGGGATGGAGACATGGTGGAGATCGTTCAGGGCGGCTGATCGCCAAGATGCTTGGAAAAGAACGCCACACGGGAGCCAAGTTGGCCAAGCCTCTGGGGATCAGGGACCTTCTTCTTCCAAACACAACCCTCCGACAGCTGGGCGTTGCAACTTATATCAAGAAGCCGTCCATGGCTTAACTGCTTTGCCCACTCGCCGTTGCTGACTCTAGACAACTTCCGAATGTGGGAGGTCAGTCGACCGTTACAGTTAGTTGGCGGAGCCGTTGCGATGGTGTCATCGGCGTTTTTCATCTTTATATTGCCTGCGTCGCGCGATGGCACGAGCCTAAGCGGATATGCGGCTTCTGAAGGTGGCTCTCGGTTCTAGGAATGTAACCCAACGGGGCTTTTCGAAATGCCCCGCAGGATCGCCGGCGCACTGCATCGTATGGCGGCAAAAGTGCCATCCTACTGCGACTGGGTTCAATCATCTCATAGGGGCGACTCGAACGAGAGCATGTTCGCATATTGTGCCATAGTAAGCAGCAGAAGTTCCCGGGTCTCTCGTGGCAAACAAACACAATTATGTTGCAGAAAAGTCTCTTCACCAATCCCGTACATAACAGCAATTGCGCCATCGCCAAAAGTCCCTCGAGTCAGGATCAACCTCGATCTTCATAGCCACTAGGCTGGTTAGCCGAGATGGATCCTGTGGAACACGGCCTTTGAACGGGGCATTGGGTCGACAAGGAGTACGTAAAGCTTAAAAAAAATCCTACAATTTAGCAAAACGTTGCTCGGATCCGACATGTTACGTTGTGCTATTTGCCATGATTCGTTTTCAAATGCAAGATGTCAGAGACGGATGAATAAACACCGACTCCCAATATCTTCACCATGACTCGTTCCATCGCAAAGCATTCTGTATCTGTAATGAAAAATAACCAGCTACCTTTCAATTCCACGGTTGAAGCTTTCCTCCATTCTGCAAAGTGTAGGTCCGACCTTGAAGCCAGGAGCTCTCTGGGGCTTTCTGATCATACGCAACTATGAAACCCTGGTCCTTGAGGCGCCCTAGATCTCCACCAACGATTGACAGACCTCGGACGAACGAGTTCTTTGCAACGATCCAGTTGCTGGTGTCGTCAATCTGTACTGTCAAGCCCCCGCGATTGTTGATGAGAGATGCATTTGCGGAGCCCTGCCACGTGCTGTTCGCCAGAAGATGGACTGTGACGGTACAACCACCCCGGGTGACAATGTCTCCGGAAATGCCTTCCGAGCCCATCAACGTTAGGGAGGAGTTGGACGAGATTGGACTCCCGCTCCAAAGCTGTGGCTCGACCCTCTCGAGGTCCCGGGATGCTGTGTTCGTATCCGCCAGAAGCAGAATTCCTGAAGGATTGTATATCCTTGCTTCCATGAGGATGATCTCGGCGGAGAAAGTTGCGAGGTAAAAGGCCGGACCCTCGCGGACCGTAATATTGAGAGATGTCGCCTCCAACGTGCCAGCATCATGTTGTGCTGTGATGGACCAATCGAAGAACAGGAAACCACTGATGGTTCCCGAAGTGATGGTAGAACCGTTCAGATGTACATACTGAGGCCCCTCCATGATGATGGCAGGGGACGCATCGGCCCAACCGGTCAGATTGGATGACATGGTTCGCCCGAGCGAGTAGATCAACGGCGACCCTGGGTTGGTAGTGTGGGCGACGCCCCCACGACTGTTGATATTGAGACCCGCGAGGGTAGGTGATCGGTAGCCACCCGAACAATGGCGGAGATTGGTAACATCGAGATTGGCACCCCGGATGGCAAAGAGGCCAATGGCTCCAGGACCGCTGCTGTACAGCTGGGGTGCGTCTAGGGTGACCGTTGTCCCAGCCCCAGTTGCGTACAGGTTGATTGCGCCATTATGGGTTTCGATGCGACCAGAGAACCGTAGTGTTGATCTTTCGCCCTACGTTGAAGTCAGTCATCTTGCAAGACCACGCAAGGCTCGAGGATGCGGTTTATCTTACGAGAAGAATAGCACTGTTATAACCTGTTCCAAGGGATCGTGGCAAGTCCTCAGGTGCTCCAGTCTTCTGAACATCAGCCTGTAGTAAGTCTACGATGACTCCCGTCATGTAGAGCACACTGGTCTGCTCCAGACTAGTCACATATGACTTGCCAGTCTCTGACGTCTGAGGCTGATCGAGAATTCTCTGAGCAACAACTGTACACGGATTTGTCAGTCAACTGCATCTCGCGCACTTGTGACTACCCTTGGCATTTGTCTATGCGGAAAGGATGTATCGATTCGTACTCACTAGGCTTTTCCTCGGTCGTTGCCGGGATGTAGTTCGGCCGGATCATGTTGTCGTCAACCCATCTCGAGGCGAGAACCCCAGGATCCAGACATGGATCTTGGTCCTCGAGTAATGAATTCTGTGATTTGCAAGTTAGAGCCCATGTGCCGATGGCTAGGGCTAAAGAAGCTCGAATGCCCATGATGTTTGCTGCCAAGACGGTCAGTTGTGGTTCAGCTGGATTGTCAACACTTGTCACAGGGCGGTCCTGGATTGTAATGGATCAAATATCGATCAGTGAGGATTCAAATGTTCGTTAATCCACCTAGAAGTCCTGTCAAGTTTCAATATGAGACTACGTTGGTCAAGTACAACAGGAGACAGGCATGAAATCTGGAACTACCAACCGAGCATTTAGGAGCACTGAAGGAGGGAGCCAACTTGTGTGATACATTTCATAGGCAATTGTACTGCCCTTAATGAGACACTTGGTACATTACCTCGAAAGTTGGTCAGTAAATACTAATGCGCGTCAGATTTCTCTCTTCAGTCACTCGTATCTCTCACTTATTGTAGCAGATCTGTTGATCAAACCCAGGTCATATCAGTATACACGAGCGTATCCATGTAGGCGTGTTTTAAACCGTGACATACATTTTGAGGGGAACCTACAGACCAAGCGACTCCATTTCCCAGTCCGCGATATCAGCCTATTTTGAACCCTCTCACCATACTAAATGATTTCAGAACGGAACGAACCATTCTGAGACATTGAATCAAGTGTGATGAAGTCGACGACAAACATCGACAGCCAACTCTAGCCGAGCAATTTGAGACATTCCACAAGTGAGCCTTCGTCTGTATTACCTGTCATCCATTCTTGTCTCGCAAGTGTGATGGACCTGGATGTCACTCCAGGATCTCCGCATCAACCCCTTCACTCCCATCACGCGGGCCCATGTACATGATGTCGTGGAAGATTTGCATCCAACTGCCTTCCTCTCTCCTCCACCAGTACTGCACCTTAACCAAAAGGTCTTCTTTCTCATCTGCTTCATGGCTCGGTGATTCATCCCAAAGATCGACCCTCATTCCCACCCACCCCTCTCTCCTGGCCATCTGTTCGACTTCAGACGCTGAAGAGAAGCCGGCAGGAGCAGTCTGCTCATCGGTGCCGAACTCCAATTCCTGTTTCTCGAGTGCTCGTATCGTATAAAATCCCTTCTTTGCTGGCTTTCCACTTGACCCCGATGCCCCGTATTTGTCTTTTGGTGCGTACTCGTGCAAGTAGCGCACGATTGTCTCACGATCGTGTGCAGCAAACGAGGGGTTTGGGCGACATATTTGGTAGCAAGATGGAGAAAAAAACATTCCCTTCGCGTCGATATCCGCAGTATGTCTGTAAGAAGCGTAGATCGCCTTCAGATGAATGGTAAGGTCCCCGGTACTTCTTTGTGGAGCCATAAGAGCGTGTGGATGAAGTGTCGTCGATGTCAGGATGGGTTTCTTCAGGTAATGTGTTGTTGATGATGGGAACTTTACACAGACGAGTCTCTTTCCGTGCATCCCCGTCGGCTCCCATCTTATCCTAGCTGACTTTGGTACGAGTCTCTGACTTGCTGAAGTCAGCAATTAGCGCCATGCAGGATGAGTCAACTTCACGGCGTTTGAGTGATTCATGTGTCCTTTCGGAATTTCTTTTAGCACGGGCGTTATAATGGCCATGTCGAAATGCAGCTTGTTCTATTCATCTTGCTTCTACGCTTCCTGCCAGCAGCACGCACCCTTAGTGGACGAAGGCGATTTTCCAGGTTCCTCAAGCCAGATGACCCCATGATCTTGAGTTGTCGTTTGCGTCGGTCGCCAATTTGAGACCTAAATTCCATCCGGGTGACCTTTCGAAGAGATGGAGAAACGTTTGATCGGAGCGGTCTTGGACACCTATGGTATCTGCACCCTAGGTAGATCAAAGACAGTGGGTGACGATCTACCCGCTTCAAACATCTTAGTACTTACCTCTCAGCCAATGCCATGCCGCAGACTGTCCATCGCACCAATCATCGTAGAGAATTCTTGATGTATTATTCGACCGAGAAATTAGCCTGTCTCGGAAGTTGTGATGCGGCGTCAGTTTACTTCAATTAATGAGATGCAATACACAAGACCCTATGTGAGGCCGGTCACCCGTTTAAGAGGTTTCAAGACTAGGCAAGAGTTTTCCGACTATGTTATTTCGAATGGTCTCTCCAGACCGGACTTTGTTGTAAGATGACGGATCAGACCGAGAGTCCTCCACCAATTATTCATCCAATTTCAGAAGAATGTGGTAGCAAGCCAAGCTGACGCGTTGATAGTTGACCAGAGTGTGTGAACGATAATATCGCCTGAGAAGCAGTCCCGTAGTTTGTCGACATGCCAACACAATAGCACCGATGAAAACGGAGTACCATCGGAGCCATCTATTTCAGGTTCCGGAGCCGGCGCCGAGTTGAGTCCGAGCGCCGCGCGGACTGTTCCGTAGTCCTTGCCCGTTCAGATCTCGGATCTGGCCCACAGACGGAGATGGACATTTGTGTATACATCCCTGCTCGGTCTCCTCGGAGGCCGACGCAACACTCCCACCGGCGGGATGTCATTGAACTTAGACAATGGCGACCGAGGAGTCCGAGACGAGATTCCACGACTCTTGCTCTAACAACTCGACACAGGTTGGCTGTATCCGAGCCCAGATAGCTGGCATGGACTCAAGGGCAACTGCGGTAAGCAAAGCTTGTGGCCCTTCTTAAGTCCACATCTAACAGAAATGCGTCTAGTGTGACTTATGCCGGTTGCGCAAAGTAAGTGAAAGCGTTGCACTCACAGCAAAATGAGACGCAGCATCTTTCTGGGGGCACAATTTTCTGCATCAGGTGTTCCTATGCCTGTGACCAACACCATTCATTGACAACAACTATAAGAGGTTCGATGTGACAAAAGCGTACCTTGCTTCAACTGTCGCCAGTCTTCGCAGGACTGCACATTCACAGGCGCTGGTCAGAAGCCCAAGGTACCTCGCCAGAGGGTTCATGTATCCCTGCAGTAGTACGTTCCCTATTGAAGCCTGTCCTTTCCTTCGCGGTATCTTCCAGGCTAATAGGGTCACAGTGAGGAGAAGATTGACCGTTTGGATAAACGCTTGGCCAACATTGAGTCCTTGCTGCTCAGACAGCAGAGCGCGGCGTCAACACAATGTTCATGCTCAGGACTGGCCCCTGAGAAGGCCATTTCAGAAGTACCGACCTCGGTGAAGGATGCATCTCACGTTCCCACAGAATTCGATGCAGAAGATGAGGCTCCGCCGGTTGAAGGCCCCTCATCACTGAGGTTTCAGATGGCAGCAACAAGAAGACTTACAGAAAGCGCGGCCATTGAGCTGGGTGCCTCATGCTACGTAAATGCCGTTGCCAGTGCACATCGAGTTTTAGGATCTCAAAGCCCAGCAGGATCATCCCAAGGGCACTTGGCACAAAAACCTGTGACATACCGAAGCATGCCTCTGCCGCCAATAACTGCTGTCATCGGTGTACTTAGACAACTCAAAGGTATGCGTCGACTGATGTCTTACATGAAAGTCATTGACCGTGGCATGTTACTAAAATTTAACAGATAATCCTCCCAGCAGTTTCTTTGTTTTGAGGTGTTTTCTCCCGTGCTCGGAGTTTATTGACCTCTGCCGGAACGTCTACTTCTCCATCGACGACTACACTGCCATTGACTTTATCATAGTGAACTCGGGTCTGCATTACCTTTTCACAGAATACTTTTGTCCTCCAAGCCTCGGACAGTCTGAGCTTCGGAAACAGTCTCTCACCTGGGGGGCAATGTGCAGGAACGCTCTCACGGCCGCCGTGGCAACGATAGATGCCGGCTTGTCTGCCAAAGCGAAAAACGTGCAAGCACTAATCCTCGGGGTATGTCAAGACTCTCTCTTTTGATTTGGTCTATCCTAACAACCCAGACAACGCACGCCATCGAGATGGCAAAGCCGTGGCTGGCCTGGAGGTTGATATGCTTCGCGGCGCATCTTTGCATGGCTGCAGGCTTTCATGACGAGAGCCTGATCGTAGCTGATGACGAAAGTACGAGAAACGCCAAAGCCTTGTTGTTCTGGCATGTCTACGGCGCGTGGGCAGAGCCTCCATGATTGGAGACTGTGATATTATCATACCCAAGGGACTTCACTTGGTCTCTTTGCCAAGGCTGTGGGACAAAATAATCCCGTTTTGGGTCGCGAATGCCTCAATTCATAGCAAACTTTACAATCTGCTGTACAGTCGAAGTGCGCAGCTTATCTCTCAGGAAGACTTGTCTGATCGAGCTGACAACCTGCTTGCTGATCTCAAGCTAATAGAGCCCGTTGGTCTAGTATGTACTTTCGGGGAGCTTGATTCTCAACCTGAGTATGACATTGACTCGCAATCAGGTCAATCCAACGATGGTGTCTTCTGATAGCACCCAACCAACGACGAAATTGGAGGCTGTTCTCGCGAAATCCGCCAAAGTCATGTACCATACTACAGCAACTTTGATATCCAGGGCAAGAACTTCGCGGGCTTCTGTGCCGTCTTTCTCACCGGACTGTTTGGCATATGCACGTGCAACAATTGACGCCCATCTTGAGTGCGTCCCCTTGATGAGCGGCGACTTACATGTGGTGAACCTCTATCTTCACTGGTAAGCCCAACACCACTATCCGTGCCGTCTTTCAATGCATCCATTACGAAACTGACCGGCGCTATCATGTCTCCAGGCGGCTCCTGCAGACACCTTTCATTCCACTCCTGGTAGTATTCTGCCACATAGTTGAGACTCAAGACACGAGCGACGCACAGCGACTCAAGAGCTTTGCAGACAGCCTTGAGCAGGGAGCCGATCTATCACCTTCTGCGAAGGACTTCTATGACATCACTCAAGAGCTCTCTATGATTGCAGAAAAGCACATTGAGACAAGCAGCAAGCAAGACTGGGCGTCTTTTCCGTCTCTTTCAACGCTGGGGCTCAGCCAATTTTATCCGGCTAATGCTATGGGCGACAATTATCATTTGGCAGCTGAACATGTGCAGTCTAATCAGGACATGGAGATGATATTTGGCGGGGAGCAGGTCATGGGCTTCTTTTAGATGGTTTCACTTGTTTGGTTGCAGCCGGAGGCAAGATCAACGATAGAGGCATAGAGTTGAGCATCCTCATATCACCAACAGTCCCGCGACCAAGGTGGCTGAATCTCTCAACATCCGCCATAGTGCATGAAAGCGGTTACGCAAAGATTAAGTGTGTAGGCAAAATATTCGAGCCACGGCCATGTCGTAATGCTACGAAACCCGTCTTCTGAGGAGGAACAGACAATGATAAAGTCGTGGCTTCATGCGGTTTTACGCTCCATGCGACACATGAAATGAGCTTCTCCGTGAAGATGGAATTAACGAGCCTTCGAGTCAAGAGGATTCACTATCGGGATCGCGTAAAAGCAAACGATCTATCTCCGGCGGGAGGGGCGGGTGAAAACACTCCTCGGTCCCCGAGAGCCCCGAAACCTTCGAGATGTGCCCGTGCCTGCGACAGCTGCACATCCCACCGCCAAACTCGGGGCAGACCATGTTAACGGAAACTGCCGATTTGCATTTCTAAGCTAGTTGGTCATTGCCTGTTTAGATCTTTGCGCTTCCGAAATCTTGTCCTTATTCTCCGGGTCATGACGCTGTCAGCCGTGCTGCTGTCATGTGATGGACACCTTGGCGTTGTCCGAAGAGCGAGATGAGTCTTTCCTCTTGGCGTAGGCAGGGCTGATGATATACAGGCCGTCATTGACCCACAGACAACTTATATAGGATGAAGAGTTCGAACGGTGTGGAGAGACTGGGTTATCTGGGCACCTCACCATCACTGATGAAAAGTTTTGTGTGTTCAAGATAACAAAAGATAAGACCAAAATGGCTGTGGCAATTGCTGGCGGAATCAGCGGCCCCGGCCGTGCTCTCGTTGAAGCTATCTCGGCCCAAGGAACCCATGAGGTTATCGTGCTGACGAGAAAGGTATCAACAAGGCAATGCTCCCACATTTTAGCAATAAGACCTACTACTGACTGTCATGTTCTCACTTAGGTTTCAGGAAAGCCCGGAGGCGCTGCCCCCAATGTTCGTTTCGTGGCTGCAGACTTTTCTGATATTGGTTCTCTTACGGCCGTCCTTGAGAAGTACAATGTCGACACGGTGATCTCCGCGGTCAACAACATCACAAGGGAAAGCTATTCAGAGTTGAATCTCGTTGCAGCTGCCGAAAGATCCAAGACAACTAGGAGGTTCATACCAAGCCACTTCGGCGTCCCTTACCTACCCGAATATGGCGTCTCGACCGTTTCCCCTTCCCTTGCATCTTCACCAATCTAGGGAATCGCATCAGCTCTTTCATGAAGTCTCTCAGACCAGAGCAATAGGCATCATTGCCTCCTATCATTGCGAAGAAGACGGCTCTTACTGAGCTGAAGTCGACCTCACTGACGTGAGTAACCAATAGATACTTCCTCGGCTACTTACCTTACTTCGGTTGGCCTGCTTCCTTCCTCGGCCGGAATGCGTTCTTTAACGACATTGCGGACAATGCCACGTCGATCCCTGAATCAAGGGATACCATCTTATCCACACGTGTGGGATTGCTTGCGCTATTGCCGCCCTTCTTCAGAGTCCCAGTCGGCGTTCGTAAGAGTCATTCCATTGGCGACAAGGTCGTGTTCAACGATCTTGTCCATCTTGCAGAGGACATCAAAGGTGATTCGCTCATACTTTATAATCCTCATGAATTAAAGCTAATTGTCTGAAGGTACCAAGTTCTCCATTGTTGAATACTCGAGTCTCGACCGAGGATCTTGAGGCTGGCCAGATGACGGCACCGCCATCGGCGAGGGGTTGCTCGGATTGTGCTCCAAGAAGATGTAAAAGCGCTCCATCGAGAGGCCAGGTCACCTCAAGATTGCTCGCAAGCTTGAGAACGATTTGCCGGAGATCAAGGACACAACTGCACAAGAAATCCTAGAGAGCAGCTGAAGACCGCAATGATGGAGTTGTAAACCTTGGGCAAGAGATCAACCAGTTTCAATAGATCTCCAATAATTGGAATCTTGTAATATGAAGGATGTTTGCCTGGTTCGAATCCGACGACGGCCATGTAAGCCACTGTCTTGGCGGTCTTGCGGAGCTCCGGTGAGTCGCGGAGATGCAGGAAGGGGAACTCCGTCTTGACAATTGCATGCAAACTCTTCAAAGCCGTGTCACTCGCAACCGCTAGATCTTCATTGATATGATTCTCTTCATTACCATTCGATGTCCATCGCTGAAAAGCGTGAGCTTGCATCTAGTAGTATATGTACTCACGTAGGGCACCAGGGACAGAGGTATTTGAGACAGCGACGTTGTCTATTACAGCATTAACAAATATTCTATGCATTTTCTCTTTCGTCGTCGTTTCTGCAGTTGTTTCTATTTTCCCTCGTACTTCCAACCCGACACCAGAGAAAGAGGCACAGCCCCAATGAGGTAGGGTCGGGCACGGCACATAGACGGCGCCGGAACGGAGCCGGCAATTAAAGCGGATAACGGGGTTGCGGACATATCGGCCGATAAACTCCCATCCTCCTGCTAGCATACAGTATGCCACTATTAGACTTTCGCTTCGCAGCAAGCTCGATTTCCATTAAACAACCTTCTTCAGGGTGAATCCCACCTGCACAGTCCTCGCCGCGATAAAAACACCAACCGCCGCCAACATCGAGAAGCCGCAGAACAGTTGAAGCCCAAGATAATTAGTGCCTCCTTGCGACGCAACGATGGCGCCTGCAATAGGACTACCAGCCAACGCACCAAAGGACTGAACGGCGAACGCAGTTCCGGTACGAACGCCGATTTGTCTAATGTCGGAGATTTGGGCAATACAGGCTGGGCCCAGTGAGATGAAGCCGCCGGAGGAGAACCCAAAGATGATGAGGAAGACGATGATGGCGGCGTTGCTCTTGCCCGGGATCCAGAGGCCGAGACAGAAGATTGCGCTGATGAAGGTGATGCAGATCATTACGTTGTACCGACCGACTTTGTCGGCGACGATGCCGGGAATGATGCGACCAAGGATGCTGCGCCGTTGTTAGCTATCATCGTACGGATTGCTGAGAGGGTTCAGGGAACGAAAGGTCTTACCTCACGGCGTTCATGATGGGCAAAAGGTAGATGACAAGATTCTCATCCATGCCTTGTGCACGCGCCTGGAGAATGACAAAGTTGAAAGGCAAAAACATGCCGAGGAAGAAGAGAAACAGCGCGCAGACCGTGACGGCCATGGGCGGCTCACGCAGACCATCGATGTATTCCTTGAAAACGAACGGTCGCGGGCGAGGCGGCAGCCGCGACTTGACCGTCAGACACGCGATACCAAGCAAGAACAGAAACAGAAACGCCACGGCCCGGATGGCCCAGGGGAATCCGACCTGGGGAATCATCTTGGACATCATGATGGGGAGGATGACGCCGCCGAGCGAGGAGCCGGAGACCATGATGCCGAACGCGGCTGCGCGTCTCCTGAAGAACCACGAGGTCACGGATGACATACAGGCGTTGAAGCACGCGCTTGAGCCGATGGATGAGACGAGACTTTGGGCGAGGATGAACTGGTAGTACTGCGTTGACAGCGAGGTCATCATCAGACCGAAGACGTATACGACGGTGCCGCAGTAGAGGAGGTACTTGGGGCCGAAGGTGTCGTACAAACGGCCAAACTAGAGCAAATGGTCAGCTATCGAGACGGGGGAAGTTACGAGGATCTTTCGGAGAACTCACAATGACACCCATAAAGGTCATTGCCCAGACCTGCAGACTGGTGATCCACGCGACAGTCGACGAAGGGTACGAGCTGAGGGGGCCAGACACATAATACGCTTGGAAGACGCCGACGCAGTTAATCAACCCAAACGTGCAGAACAACGCGCACCATCCTCCAAAGACGACAAGCCAGGCCTGGGCGCCACCATCGGGAAAGTCAGCCGGGTTCATCCCGGGCGGTGGGCCGGCAGCGGACGGTGCCGGTGCATCACCACCGGCCGGGCCATCGGTCTTGGCATCTTGCGTCGTCGTGCGGGCCAAGCCGCCCTTTTCGAGATCAGCCTCGACGACGTTGGCGGGTTCCGGGTAGATGTTGGCCTCGGTATCGCGCTGCTGAGAGGGAATGCGATCTAGGGATTGGCGGGCGGAGGAGGAGGACTCGTAGGGGATGTGGTCCGACTTTTCTGGGTCACCGGGCGCGGTGGACCTGTCCATGACTGTTGACGAGTTGGATGATGTCGAGAGGGCGTGTTGAGAGCGCGGCATGGCTGTGGACTTTCTGTTTGGGCTGGTGTTGTTACGACTATTTTCCTCAGCCAACTTTTCTGACACGAACAGGTTGCCGCTTCGTATCGGTGTGTATTGCTCCCTTTCTCGATATTTTCTCTCAAGTGGCTTCGAGTGAAGCGTCGACGGGCAGCGCCCCTTTCAGTCCGTGGACGCAGGTCTTGATGGCGAAAAGTTCCTGGATGAGATCAGAAGAGAAACTTCCTTGGGCCCCTTGGGTGCGAGCAATGCTTGTGGGGCGAACTGTTGCGTCGTTTCGTATCGTCGGTGAATAGCTCAACGAGATTGCTTGCTTTTTGGTCGGCTAAATATGGGACTATATCGAGTAGTCCTAAGTAGTACCGGCACGATCAATAGCAGCAGTTCGTCTTGTTCTTATTCTTTGCGCCCTGCCTATATCCGAATGAAGAAAGTATTTCCACACTCCACGACAAGTTCCATGGTGCGGCTCAAATGACGGACAATTATTAATCGCAGATAGACATGATCCTCTCGCGCGGTTCTCGCCCTTCAAGCGTAGGGAAACAAGCTTGCTTTTGGGGGGGGGGGGGTTAGACTCGGAGAATGCAGAAGACTTCACACAAACCCATGTTCGGTTCCAAACGCCATGCCCTTCTGGATCACCGCAATTCTGGATACCAAGATCCTGGGGAGGGGTAGGCGACCCTTAGCTTAGCGGGCCGGATATAACAAGCGACTTACCGGCCGAAGCGCCTTTGTCCACTTGAGCAATGCGAAGACCTAAGCCGTTAGGCAGAGCTTGGGAAAAGGTTGGACCGTTTGTTTCTAAGCGGCTCAACTAAGGTATGGCCAGCTGTTGTGGTGACGAACGTTCTTGGGCAGCCATAAGCTAGCTTCATGAGCTTGTCGCCTGTCGCAGTGTCATTTGTGAGTCTCGCGGCGAGAACGTGCGCTTGTGATTCACGGAAACGGATGCCGGCCGCTAGGTCACTCGTTTTTACCCCCTCTTAGATCAATTGACCAGTGCGGTTTCAACTTTTCAGTGAGTGAGGAGAAGTTGGTCGCTGATCTTCGTTCGCTTAGCATTTGGAGAGTCGGTGAGGCTTCATCCCATCTACAACTACCGATGTGGCCATCAATTTCGTTCACAGGGCAGCTTCTTCAACTGTGTGTTCTTAGGCTAGTAGAGTGATTGATTTCGGAACCTTGAAGGGTGGAAGATCTCATTCTCTTGGTGATTTTTCACAGGTTCAATGTTCCTGACCCAAACTCTTGGCATCTTCAGAATCATCATCTTCACTAGAACCCGCCTTACCTGCAAAATCTCGCCTCGTACCCCAGCCCGGAGCCGTGTTCCGGGGTGGGGGGCCCGGAAGGGACTTGTTGGCTCGGTGTTGAGATGAAAACGCGAGGCCCGAGACTCTGGATTGGAATGAGGGATGCAGCAGCTGTTCACCTTTGCCCATTTGACCAATCACCACGGTTCCATTGTCTCGGAAGGGTGTGCTCGGCGCTCGGTCGGAAATCAAAGTGTCATTTCGAACGCCAGGCTTGTCAATAACGCCAGCCTCCGTGGCTGTTTACCACTAAGCCGGATTACGTCCACGGCGCATAGGCACGTGGGTTTTGTGACTTTGTATCCGAAGTTGTTATTCATCAAGCTTATCCTGGCGAGATATCCAGGGATCGGACGACGAACGAACTCATATCTCCGAGATGGTAACTATTCATCCGGACAAAACACGAGAATACGAGTGAAGAAGACCCGGCCGATACTAAAGCATCGCATGGCAAAAAAGTCTTACGGCAGCCGCACTTATCCTGCAGGTCGATTCACATACAGCGTTGCAACCTAACTGTTTCGTTGTCTATTACACAGTAAAGTTACATTTGTCAGCCTCGTGGCTGTCTGATCCAATTGCCATCGCAATTCTGGTTTGCGGCACAGGGGTGCCTGTATTTGATTCCGATTTTGATTCCGCCTCTATCGCACAAATTCTTTGAGATCCTTCACGTCCTCGAAGCTGACCTTTCCATCACGCGATACGCTGGCGACATGGATGGCTGACGGTGGCTGCTCGACTGATGCGGGCTTTGCCTCGACCTTCGGCTTGGTCGTCAGTTCAACGGCCTCTGGGACTACGCCAGCCGGCGCATCTGCAATCTCGTTGACCTCCTTGTTGGTGAGAGCATCAGCAACTCTGACGCCTCTGCTGGACATAAGAAGGGTTGTCGGGCCCCGGAACTGGAGGAGCAGGCGGTCGCCCCAAATGGTGCGTCTGAGCGACGTCCTCAAAGTGAACAACCACCGAGCAATGTTCTTGTATGTACTAGTATCGCGCATCGCCTTCATGAAGTTTGTCTCGGGGAAGAGGCGAGTGATGTTCGGGATCTGAAGGCGGAGGATGTTCGACTTGAGTCGCATCGGCAGGGGAGGGTTGCGAGAGACGGCGTACGCGACGACGTGCGAGGGGTGCGCGACGAACTCTTCGCCTTCCGCGAGCGTAACTTCGTACACCTGACCGGGAGAGGACAGAGCAGCCAGGCCTCTGCCAGTGAGGTGAGTGCTTCCCCAATGGGCAAGCGAAAGGCCACGACTTATACGCGGCGATACGGAGAGTGTGTGACCCGTCCAGGCAAGAAGCGCATTGCGCTGGGAGACCATGTAGTCGGTAGTACCATCGAGGTGTAGGACGGAAAAGGTCGTTGTGGGAGACTTTGTGGAAATCAGAGCCGTGAGGGGCGTTGAAGATGAAATGCGTTGGTATAGGAAAGGAACGCCGAGGAAGGCTCGTGTAAAGGGCGAAAGAATGGAAAGTGTCGATTGGGCCTGTGATTCCCTAATTAGATCTGACCAAAGAAGCAAAGTGCTGACCGACGCTCACATTTTCAGCCTTGCCTGCAACTCCTACCAATGTTCCCCTTCTGGTGTAGAGCTGCTGCGACGGCGACAGAGAGACGGAAAGGAGGGAGTATGGTGATCCAAGGACCTCGAATCGGGCATCTATTATCATCAAGTCAGCATTCTCCCGGCACTGACTTCCATGCCATTGAAGCATTGAGCATACCGGCGGCGTCCCGCGACGCTCCTCGAGCTCCAAAGACGTCCCCGCCAACCTTTGGGGCTTCACTCGTCGGCGCAGCGCTAATCTGGATGCCCCTACATTGCCTGCAGACGTATGAAGGCGATTGACCAGGTCGCGCACCCCGCGCCGTCCTCAGCAAAGGCAATTGGGCGCGCATGGCGGACATCTGGAAGGCTGATGACGTCGGTCGTTCGGATCGTGAAATTGGAAGCTCCAGCAGCTGTCGCCCTCAGCGGTGCTCCATCAGGAATTTGGAGGGCCGCCGACCTTTGCGCTGACGGCAAAATCCCGGAGCTGCATCCCGGGTGAATACCGACCCGTGCCGAAGAGTACGTACTCTGTGAGATCTGGGAATCACGTTGCGGCACGTAAGGTGGAGAATACGTACCCAACCGCTCCTTCCAATGTCAAAGCTCGAAGATTATAGTGGAGCTGGAGATTCGTTTCATTCGCTTAGAGGAGATTAGCGCCATCACCCCAGCAACAGCCCATGTCGAGACCCCTGTTGACGAGGCTTCAGTGCAAACCTTCCATATTCCTTGCACAACATTGAATAAGTCACGAACACGGTTCAAACACCACAAAAGTCTTCTCGTCGAACCAATCTCGACACGTCGCGTCGACTCCGAACCCCGACATCATACTCCCGAGTATCGACTCCGACACCCTCTTTCATTCCTGCTGGCTTAGGCTGCTGCCACCCTATCCATCGAGTCGAAAGTCGGTCTGGCCTCACCATGTCGGTTCGTGTGGTCGCGCGTATCCGTCCCCTCCTCGAAAAGGAGTTGGATAAGGACGTCATTGTCCGCGCGGACAGCACTGAGCCGGGCAAGCCAGCCACGTTGGTCAAGATTCCGAGTCCGAAGAACGAAAGCGAGGAGTTCTCCTTTGCCTTCACCAGCGTCTACGACCAATCGACGACACAGGACGCACTCTTTACATCAGAGGGTACGAATACCTTACGCGAGACACGAATCATCGAGAGACGTCGGTCAAACTAACTTGAGCAGTTGCACCACACATCAAGGCACTCTTCCAAGGTCTCGATGTCACTATCTTCGCCTATGGAGTCACGGGAACAGGCAAGACGCACACCATGAGAGGTGGACTGAAGCTGGCAGATCGCGGTGTAATCCCGCGGCTGCTGAGCGGTGTGTATCGGCGCGGTAAGAAGATCGCCAAAGACACCGGCGGCAAGACGAATGTCGACGTTGTCTTATCATACTACGAGATCTACAACGACAAGGTCTTTGACCTGTTCGAACCCCCCGAGAAACGTCAGCCCTCCGGCCTTCCCCTCCGCGAAAAAGATGGCAAGACGATGGTAGTGGGTCTGTCCGAACGCGCTTGCGAGGACCTCCAGGACTTTTCCCGACTCTACATCGAGGCGAATAACAACCGTGTCACGGCATCAACGAAACTCAACGCCCACAGCAGTCGAAGCCACGCCATCATGAGAATCAAGGTGACCCAAACGACGGGAGACCAGATCCGCGAAAGCGTGGCTTCGGCCATTGACTTGGCTGGCTCGGAAGACAACCGCCGTACCGACAATGGGAAGGAGAGACTTGTAGAGTCTGCGGCCATCAACAAGAGTCTTTTCGTCCTGTCGCAGTGCATTGACGCCATCTCACGAGGGGACAAACGGATTCCTTACCGCGAGTCAAAGATGACGCGCATCCTCAGCTTAGGCCAGAACAACGGCATCACCGTCATGATCTTGAACTTGGCTCCCATCCGGAGCTACCATCTGGACACTTTGAGCAGCTTAAATGTCAGCTCGAGGGCCAAGCGCATCGAGGTCCGCGAAATTGAGAACGAAGTCGTCTTCAAGCAAGTCCCGCGTACGAACTCGGGCAGTTCTACATCCACCCTACGACAACCTCTCCGCCCCTTGTCCAATGCCCACAACATTCACAGTGGCACTATTGCAGCCAAGGCAACCGAGAAAGCTGCCGATCCGACGCGACCGGTGAAGCTTTTCAACGTGTACACCGACCGTAGCAAGTCTGCTGTTCCCGTCCGACCGACTGCCAACATGACGCAGACCCGGAAGCCCCTCGTCGAACGCGAATTGCCAGTCAAGGCTAGCAAACTTGCACGGCCGTCGCAGTCCTCCCTGATTGCTCAACCAAACCAGCCAGCTCAACCAGCCGAACAAAAGCTTTCCATCTCTGCAGAGCAGTTGGAGGCCATCGTCGAGAAAAAGGTTAGCGAGATTCTCGCATCTAGGGAGAACAAAACGGCAGAGCCTGCGCCTGCACCTGCTCATCCCGACATCAACGATGCTGTGCGGCGCCGATTGGAAGCACTGGAGCGCCGGATTGCGAATGAGGAGCGGGAACGCGATGATGGTCGCTCAGAGGGCCTACGCTTCTTGCTGGCTGCTAGACAGGCCAAGGAGACTGGCAACGATGTTGTGGCGCTTCAGATGTACGAGGAGGCCCTTCCTTTCTTCCCAGGCCAGGTCAAGCTATTGGGCAAGATTGAGAAGCTGAGGGTCAAGCTTGGAAACATGCTTCCCACCAAGTCTCTACCAGTGTCATCCTCTCCCCGCAACGGACACGAGAAGAAACGTAGAAGAATTGCTGCCGATGACAGTGACGAAGAGTACCAACAAGGCGGAGGGGACGAAGACATGAGTTTTGTGGACGTTGCTGCGAAGACGAAGAGCCGAAAGGCAAAGCCCGCCAAACCTCCCAAAATGGTCCTCCCCGACCCGGCAGGACCAGCTTCTCCCCGAACCCAAAATTTGTTGAGCATCGTCAACTCGCGAGACCTTACCCAAATCAAGGGCTTGCACGGATTCGGGTCGAAGAAGGCCCAGGACCTCGTCGATTACTTGGAAACCATGGCGGATAAGGAAGGCGCCGAGATTGCGATTGAGAATTTGGCGCAGCTGAAGACCATCCCTGGAATGGGTGGCCGGACTGTCGAGCGTGCTTACGACGGCCTTGTTGGACTAGCCATTTGAAGGCTGAAGCGAGTGATATCCTACCTAGCATGGCGCATCGGGCGGCTATAGGTGCATTGGGCATGGTGTTTTGGAGTTCAGCATACAGGCCACGGTGGCCTTGAAAAACAGGTTGCTTACAGAACGTTGCATATTGTGGCGAGGATCCTTCAGGGCAAAGCATACTAGATAGGCAATTCATTCTCGCCAAGTCACTGTGTCATGCCTCGCATTGTGTGGTAAAGTACCTTTCAGTCTATTGGTTCTGTCTATGCGTACGCGATGGAGTGTGTGTCTATCGTTAATGTCTAGAGCGGCTGAGAAGCCGAGATCACACCTCTCATATACGTTGGACACAAGGTACATGTATATCTACTTAGTCCAAGGGTCTTGGGCTCTCTGTCATGTTGAAATCCAAGCAATCTCGTGATGACCTCGACCAAGACCTCACAATGTGATCTTCGATACCTTGACATAGCATCGTCGAGGCTTGACCGTCAACCCATCGTAGCCTCTATAGCCAGACAACTCAGGCGGACACCGCAAAAAGTCAAAGTTCCAGATCAGCATCGCGGTAAACATGCGAAGTTCTAGATACGCCAGCCTTCGCCCGAAACATGCTCTGGGCCCGAGGCCAAAAGCCATTTGAGGCCCCGCCGTGGCATCGTACACCATTTGGTCTGGGTCCTTGTCTAATTTTATAAGCCAACGCTCCAGTTTGAAGTCCTCCACGGGAAACGGCGATGTCTCCCAGCTTCGAACGCGGCTCGACGCGTCAAGTGCCGTCTTGGAGCGCAGAGCGTCAGGGATGTCAAACGCCGGCCTAAGGATACTCTCGCCAATTGTCACCATCATCACGTTCGTGCCCTTGGGGATTTGGTGGCCGAGGATCGTCGTGTCCTGCATCGCTTCGCGGTCCGTGACCGGGGTCGTCCCAGCGAAGCGGAGGATTTCTTCAATAGTGGCGTCGAGGTAGGGGACGGTAGCCTTTATGATTTCTTCGTGCATCGGGTTTCGTTTCTCTTTTACCGCGTCGAGCAAGTGCTGGCGAAGGGCTTCGCGGAGTCGTGCTTGGGCATCTGGGTTGTCTGTGAGGTACCAGCATCGAAGCCATGGAAAAACCGCCTTTCTTGTTTCCTCGACGGTTTCGTCTAGTTGCAGCATCGCCCTGGTGACTTTGCTTTGTTCACTCTCCGGAAAGACTACCGGCGAGCCAGCCTTGACTGGGAGTTCCACGCGTTCGAGGGCCGAGATCGGCTGCAGTCGACCTGGCAGCGTCATGTGCTGAAAGTTGCTGCTGTATGAGAATGCCAGGACAGCGTCAAACGCCCCGAAGTAGATGTCGTTGAATGCTTCGAATGGGTGGCCATCGGCTAGGCGGGCTTTGTTTCCCCAGAGCTCAACTGCCTGCTGAACGCTGTAATAGATGGGCTTGGCCACCACGCTGTGGAGGAAAGCAGGTGTCATCAGGTCCTGTAGCTACTTCCGCTGCCTCTTGAACAAGGGATCATCGCTCTTCATCATCATGTGAAACTGAGGCATCAGCGGCTGAGAGATGTACCGTAAGAAGTCGGTTCGGTCGAATTCCCTGCATCGTCTCATGGATATGTCCTCTGCCTCGCAGAAGTCTGTGACGATAACCGTAGGGGAAGAACGGGTCCCCATGAAGAGTTGGATGATGGGCGATTGGAGATTCTCGGTTTGGGCTGCGACCCATCGGAACGTTGAAATGCCTCGTTCCTGGCTTTCGAGGAAGGAGTCAATGTCTCCCATCATGAATGTGGCCGCATGTTTTTTGTGGGGTATTCCTGGGATCGGTTTGGGTAGAAGAAGGCGATGAAGGAGGTAGAGTAGTGCGATTATGAGACTGGCAACAACAACAACGCAATATTGTAGGCCAGAGTTGACTAAAAACATCTTGAACTTCAGCTCTTCAGCGATCAAGCTGATAACTTTGGCGATGGCTAAGTCAGTCAATGCCTTCTTTCGGTTCAAAATTGGGCACCACCTAAACTAAAAAAGTACTTACTTTGATTAACATGGGAATGAGAAGAAGCTTTTCAGATCGCAAAAGGCAGCTCCCAAAAATCGCGTCAACTCCCCGAACTCTCTGCCCACTAGTCGCTGTCCAAGCGGAACAACCACGGACACTCCATAGGATCCGCTGCCGATCGAAAGCTTCATAGTTGGTTCGTTACAAGGCAGGCGTCTATAATGATCAAGATTGTCTAGGAGCTTGCACCTGCTCAAATGGCACTTGAATGGGGTAAATCTGCTACAATAGGACTTAGTCCGACTCCGAGCCCGAGTCCGAACTACGATTCAGACGTAGGTACACATTGACATACATGTGCCCAGTAGGGATCCATGTGCCCATTTCGCTGTTGAGTAATCGTATTAAGACTTACGCTAGTGCGGTTGCTGCTCAAAACGTACTCTCATTGCATTCGACCGCTGCCGTACTAGTCAGTAGTTTTTGCACGTCGGAAATGTAGACCGAGCGAAGAGTTGGTGACCATGATGCATATGTCTAAAGCCTGTGTCGACATTGGACTGATCACAAACCTTACAGGACATTAAGTTTTGGCTGTAAACAAAGCTACAATAGATCGATAATTTATGGAACAGGTTTCCGGGTTCAAGATGAAATTCCGAGATGATCCAAAGTAACGCATTGAATTCTTTCCAGAACAATTGCGCAGAGGAAGAAGAACTTCTCCAAGT